AAATCCAATATTTGCAATAAATTGTTTTGGAACAATGAAGAAATCTTTTACTCTTTGAGGAAATTACTAGTCAAGTCATATTCAGTAATGAATGAATATGGTTAGCTTGTAAACATTTTTTCCTTTTATATTTTGATAAATCCTCAATTACTCACAAAGCTGAACCCTCCTCTGTATTTGTCAGCTGTTAGTGACACTTTGATGTTATCCCAGAGGCTTGGGGTGTTTGTTTGCTCTTTAACCAAGCTATGCATGATAACATATTAGTGAAATATCTTTAAAAAAGAAATGTTTTCAAGTTGAATATTCCTCAACTAGGTGGTGGTTAGAGAACAGTGATGGGCAGGGAGGAAGGTTAAATGGTGAAAGCTAGCCCAGGGTACTAATCTGTGGAGATAATAAACTGAAAGGCAATCTCAAAATAATATTTTTCCCTTCTACAATGCCTTTAATTTGAAAACCAAAAAGCATACTACAAAGACCGTGCCCTTGCTGGGCTGCAGTTGCTTCCATCAAATCCTTTGAGAGGCTTTTCAGCTGCTCTGTCTGTCCTCAGTGCTGGTCTGTCAGTCCTAGTCTGGTACCTCCTGAGCAGAAGGTCCTGTGCAAATCAGTGCACTGTTACCAAAAAGCAAACTGAAAAATAAACATTGTATAGGCATGAGCTTCACATCCACCAAACCCAGGGTAGTCCAGAATTATGGATGCTGTTTATATTAAAAAAAACCACACAAAATACAAAGAAACCCAGCAAACTTGGAACAGAAGTGGTTCTGCATGATACACAACTGAAGAACTAGACAGAAACATGGACTATTTTCAAAACATTTTTTTTTGGGGGGGAAGAGGCTTCTCCTGATTTGTGATGAATCTTATTGCAGAAGGAATTTTAAATCAGCTCTTAATCTTACTATAGTGCTTTTACTTTTTTCTTTTTTTCTTCCCCTTAGTGATGTTTTCTTTCTGAAGACTGTATGTAGCAGGACCCAACAAAAGCACTTGCTTCTCTCAGCTTTTGAGATGAATTATATTTAAATCCAGTTTATCCAAGATCTGGGGGATCGTTGGCTTGTGCGCTGCTTCCCTTTAACCAGTGCTTTGCTGTTCTGACTTCATGATTCACCATCGCTGCATATACATGGAAAAGAAAAAAAAAAAAACCACAAAGCCAAAGCAAAACAAAAAAAGGAAATAATATGCAAGGGTATCTCTGGAGTCCATGAGAAGGTGTTATCAGAAAACAAATGTGTCAGCCATGCGATGCATGAAATGACCCCATCTGTGGTGCTAGATGCTGGCAGTAAGGGCTGGTCTGATTTCTCTGCTGGTTAGTGGCTATCCAGGGCATGCTTTCTCTTGTTCCCAGGTGAGGACTCGGCAATCAAATTGCCCTCTTTCCACAGGTGAGGGTAATTTTTTTACAGATGGAATTTTTGTATTAAATCTGGCCTTGTAAGAGGTGAATTTTCTTTGCCCCACTGGTTTCTGCCTAGCTTGCTTGCTCCCTAGCACTTTCTTAATAATGTATGGTTCATGCCAACATTAAAAATGCTTCATTTTTTTATTGGCTGGTTAGATTTCAGTCAGTGTTAACAGCAGGGGTTTAAACCACCTCTGAAGTTAAAAGGGCTACTCGTAATCTTAATATTTCGCATGTGTTTAAGTACCTTGCCGAACTGAGGCACAGCCTGGGAAAGGAGTATTTCTTTCTGTACGAACTTATTCGCCACCCAGAACATCTCTCCATAAGAAAGAGTCATGCTTTTTCAGACATAAAGACTAGGAGGGTGCCCAGCAGCACCCAGGTAAAACCAAACCCCCTTGGGAGGTGTGATAAAGCACAGGGGGGATTGCTTCAGGGTACTCAGCAGCCTACAAAGACCCATGCTGTGAAGGGGACAGGCTGTGCTTCTGTTTTGCTAGGGGAGTAAAGGTCCCCAGAGAAGAGATTGGTCTTGAACCTGCTTGTGCACCACAGGAGCATCAGCCCTCACCTGCTGCACCTGCCTGCCTGCTCCCTCCCTCCTGCATGCATGGGGTGGGAACCCCAGCCCCAGCGAGGCTGGGGAGATTTTGTGGTTCTCTGCTCAGGAACAATCAGGATTTTAGCACTAGGTTTCAAAGGCATATTATTTTAAATATCTATATTAAAAAGATATACACATATATATTTTTAACTTCGCTTATATACAAGGCAGGTGACCACCACCTACAAAGGAGCCTGGGCTGTCATGTCTTGCCTCTTGTGCACAAATTTGCAGCCTTGATGCTCATGAGTACAAATTTTTGCCATAATAATAGCTTTGTTTCATTTTACTTCATAGCTTTTCTGCTTTTCTTGTTTAAAAGAGCTGATGAAAACATCTGCTTATCTGTATGTAGTTCTCTTTCTGACTTTTTTATTTAGCTAAGAGTTTGGTCAGGAAAAACAGCACATCTTGGCCTGATAGGGTTCAATTGCAGAAATAAATGGGAACCAATTTTTTTGTTTACCAGGAAATCCCACCACTTCAGATACATTTTTCACTTTGGAGTGAAGCATGCTTCAAAATTTCATGTAAAATGGAATTTGAAAAAGTAATTTTGAGTTAAGGGGAACACTTAGAAATATTTTACCACCACAGAGTTCTGTTCTTCAAACCTTTTTAAGACTTTATATCAAAAAAGTCACTTACTCTGAAAAGTAGCTTTGGAACAACTTTCATTCTGAAAATGTCAACATGTCATTATTGAAATGTTTAGTCTCAGATGTTTCCAAATGATATCTTATAAGAATCAATTGATAGTTCAAAACATTTGAGTCTTGATGACCTCCCCTGGCATCTTTATGAAGCAGGAAAACAACACTCAGCCAGCTGTTTTCAGTGGGGCCTTGAGATGTTTCCCATATTGAAATATTATCAATAAAATTTAAAAAAGGAATTACCATAATCTGAGAAGAAATTTACCCCAAAAAAGCAGGCTTTCAGAATCTGAAGTTGATCCTAATAATCTTGCACTGTATTCAACTAATATCCTTTGAGCAGCTCTGAATCTTTTGAGAGATAAATCTCCTCTTTTTATTTGCATTGGTTTGCCTTCGTACAATTTAGAGGCATAAATTTCTCTACAGTCTGATCTTAAGATACCAGTCATAAGAAAATATGCTTAATTAATGTGTGTACCTTCACTCTGACTGAAGCATACTTATCTGAACAGGACTGCTTTTTTGCATCAAGGCTTAAGCCTCACTATAGTGCTTTGGAGTGACAGTATCTCTGTTTTACAGGTGCGGAACTTGAGGTAGGGTGTAGCCCAAAGATACCTTTTGCCAGTCAGGAGCAAAACCCCCACCTGCTGATGAGGTTAATGCAAATCCAGTACAAAAGCACTTTAGCAAGGACAGTATTTAAAATGTCAGTTCAAGCTGATAGGTCATGATGATATTTTTTTTTCTGAAAATGAATTAAGTTTTGGAAAGTAAACTTTATGCTCAGGGTGGTGTTGTGCCTAAAAAGCCTTTTATAGGATGACTAACTTCTGCTGGTGTTAGCATATGGCTCAAGGACACTTTGTTCTATACTCCCTACTATAGTCAGTGGTACGCTCTGCAAATCTGTTTTCAGAGAACCACTGTGTGGCTGTCTCCTTAACAATTTTCCGCCTCTGAGTTATCATTTAGAGGCTGGAGGGGAAGACCTAGATGGCTAGCAAATCCAGCATCTTTTCCAGCTGATCAGGGTAAAATTATTGTGCTTGCTTGTATCTGGAACCTAGGATCTAAGTCTTTTTTTTTTTTTAAAAAAAACAAAAAACCAAACAAAAACCCAATCAAAATAAAAAAAAAAAAAACCACACACAACAGCAACTCTTTCTCTTGCAATGGGTGTAAGCAGAAACCTTTTAAATACAAATAGCTGCAGTGGAGCAGCCCCATCCAAAAGCTACCCTGAAACTGCAGCTTTGGAGCAACTGAGTTGCAAACTCTCCAGCAGTGGTGATTTAACATCACTGCTATTTCACTCCTGAGCAAGGAAACTCGGAAAAAGTGGGGTGCTGAGATATTATGGTCTGCAGTGAGAGGTGCAGCTCCATCAGAGAGTCGCATTCAGCTGAGTTATCTGGTGCCATGTGAAGGGGAAGACCCAGGTCCTCCTCCTGCCACCCCCCCCCCCCCCCCCCCCCCCCCCCCTGCTCCCAGCCTTGCCTGCTTGCATCTGCTGCTTCCACTGCACCAGGGATTTTCTTGGCACACAGGACGGTTTGTTATTATAACCTGGCACAGAGGAGCTCCTTTACCCGCTCCCCAAAATGCAGCTGAAATGCAAGTGTGCAGGCAAGGGTGATGTATAGCCCCTTGCCTCCAGCTGGAACCAGAATTTTTCATTAGGGAAAATGGGAGTTTGAGAGGGCTTTAGGGGTTCTGGCCAAAATCCTGAGGAAACTGGCCAGAAAGTTTTTAAGTTTACAAGCTGTCAGGATTGCGGTTTTGCATCCCTCTGGGATCTCTGCTTGGACCGTAAGCTAGTGCTAGCTCCGGGGAAGCACTGCACAGGGCACTGGGAAGGTCCTTTGGGTTTCTCTTGGGGTCAGACAAGCCCCTGCCTGGCAGGTCACAGCTCCAGCCAAAACATCTGGCAGTGGCTCCCAGGGACCTATAGGCACCTGGTGGCAGAGGGGAGCTGGGTGTCCACACTGGTGAGGAGTGCCAAGGAAGCTATGCTGAATGCTTGTATTAACACCTTGGGAAACTGTGATTAAAGTCTGATCAGCGAGTGAAACTCTGTCTGTGCCATCTGTATCGTACAGGTTTACAACCACAAGATTATTTAGGAGTGCAATTTACAGGCAGAGACCGGTTTAGAAATAAGAGCATCAAACCATTTGTTTGAGTTGAAGTCAAAGTCCCTATATAGAAAACCTTTAAAACTTAAATAGACCAAAGAATCACTCAATTTATATATTAGAAAAATGAGATTATGGAATGATATTGACCATATTTCTTCAAATAGTATAATGAATTAAAAGTACCTTGGGTTGGCTATTGATTCTTTTTCTTCTTCTCTTACAGTAGGCAAACATTCACAGTCAGCTGAAAAAGGATAAGAAACAAAACTATAGTTACTCTTGGCAGTTATTCTCCACTTATTTCAAAATTGCATCAACTTTTCTGGTGCAGTGTCTCTAGAATGTAAAACTGCAGATGCTATTCTGCACCCTTTTATCTGTAAAATCAGCATAGTCCACATGGTGCAAATGTTACGTGTTTTAAAACTTTGATAGGTGTTGCTGTAATTTCTTTACTATTTATTTTTCAGTTGTTTATGTACACCTATGCAAATGAACTACTTTTGAGGACTGTTTCCCGTAAACTACCCTGGGGAGGACTATTTGTTAATCTTCTACTGCTTATAGTTGTGCCTATGCTTTGTAGTCCAGCTGGAAATTTGGGGCTGGGCTTTAGGGAACACTAACAAAAAAAAAAACCCTATTATGTAAACTATTTGCTCCCTTCTGTCCACAGAATTTAAAAAAATATTTTACAGCACTATTTCCCCATGTACTGTACTTTATGTCTCTATTTCACTACTGCTGCTTAGCACATGTTTTCTGCTAGAGCTTATGCACCGTGAAGGTCAAAACCCCATCATGTGGAGCACTGTGCTAATGCAAAGAAATGCTCCAAAGAGTTTTATATCCTGAAAAACAAAGCATCCCTAGGAGGTCAGGCAAATGAGCCATTTGGATATAAGGCAAGGGACCAGAAATGAAAAAAGTATCAGGGTTTTAGCATTTCCTAGCCAGTGAAAAAGCTGTTAGCCGTTCAAAATCAGGCCTCAGTTAATTCACACCTTACCGAAGACCTGCATTTTTTGAGGAGAGCCTTGAAGGAGGATGCAGGGCCCTTAGAGATTTTGACCAGGAGATTTCAGTTGGGAGGAAAATGGGGGAAAAATACAACATACTTAGAAGTAGCTAAGAAGGAGCTTAAGATGCTGCTGGTGGCAGTTACTGCAGGTACTAATTGCTCCGAGGGCTGATAGGCTTACCGGAGAGCGCGTAGATGGTGAATGGTGCTGGCAGCAACGAGCAGCTTGTGTTTCATGCAGTAGAGATGCCAAGCGAGGGAACAGACACAGAGAGGAAGGATGTATTCATAGGATCCTGGCAGCAATTTTGAGTAAACGGTGGTTTGAACTATGAGTAAATGTGTGTTTCTTCTACAATAGCACAATGTGGAGCGGAGAACTGTAGAAACTCTGAAGACTGAAAGGACTAGATGCTTCAGAGAAACTAGTATTTGGCATTAAAGTGTGTATTTAAAAATATAAATACCGTTCACAGCCATACGTGTGTTTAATAGAAGTGCCTACTGGAAACTCAAAACATTTATGATATTCCATCGTATGTTAAAAATAAGCTCCCACACAAACTAAAATACTCCTCTGAACAATTCTACCTCTGACATTTGTGCTGCTATTTTAGTAGCAGGGAGTCAAGAACACAACTAAAAATGTTGTAGGAAAAGCAGTGACACACATACAAAATGCCTTACGTTGATTTTCTACGCATGGGATCTACATCAGCTAGAAAGAGAGGGACGATGGAGTAGAGGGGTTACCGTGTACCATTTTTGTTCGTGCTGTTCATCCATTTATCAAGCTCTTCCATTTCTATCTCCATAACAGACGGTGTGTCTTCTTCAAAAATAGGACTTCAGAGGAAGGGGGAAAAAATAGGCATTACACAAAATGCTTAATTCAAACAACTTATAATGTAGTAATTTTGTATCAGTCTTTCCTAATTCCAGACACATGTATAAACTCTGGAAAGCCATCCTAGCCTAGTCATCTGAGAAGATGTCAGCGCAATGGGTGTGAATGAAATGGCTGCAAACAGATGCAAAGGAGCGGCAGTGAGGCGCCGGTCCTGGGCAGAGGTAGGGCTGGCTGGGACATCACATGCAGAGGGAGGCAGGCGGTGCAGTCTGGGGTATGCCAGAGCACAGGATCACTGCAGCTATTCGAGAACTGTCCCTACTGTAAATAGAAAACTGAAAAATGAAATAGTTTGTCTCTGCCCTGCTGGAACACATGGTAAAAGTCCTGTTTTTCCACTGATAAAAGCAGAGGGCCTGAAGTTTCATCCTAGCTGTCACTGACATTGGCAGTGACCTCAGAAGCAAAGCTCATGAGTAGAGTACCTCTGCGTTTATGTAAATGTCTCCGTTTAGCTTCCCTTTGCTGATCATTCCTGGAGTCACACGGTAGAAAAAATATTTTTAGCAAAAACCCCTTTTTTCCCCTGTGAAGCCAATTCAATAACTTCCAGCATTGATTAGCAAGATGGAGCTCAATAAAAGGTGATGATAAAAATTATCATTCTGATAAGAGCCACACAGCTTTTGGCTTGTTTTCCCAGCAGCTAAGGCATTGCTTCCACGGCAGCTGGGAGAGCCTTTCTGCCTCACCACAGAGTGAGAAGACAAACTTGAAAAACAAGGGAGCAAGACACAGAGCTTATTCCGAGTAGTAAAAGCCTGTGATGAGCCTGGGAACCGATCCCCTTTGCTCACAGGGCATCTTGTATGTCTTGTGGCGCCTTGTGGCTGGCAGAGCCGGGGGTGCCTTGAGCAGGCGTAGGGGCGGCTGCGGGCAGTGGCTGCCTGTGGGGCAGTGCTCACCTCGGCCACCGTAACTCCTGTTCTCCTGCTCTAGTCTTACACCTTCAGCTAGATACTGAAGTCACGCTTTAGCCACCTCTAGAGAGAGTTAACTGGAGCAACTGATGGCAGGCAAAAGGTAATGGTGTTTAGTGTAGGGTTAAATTAAAACAGGCAGTGAAGGAGCCAAAAATCATAATACCCTGTTAGAGTAAAAGAATCAAAAACAAGAGAGCGATGTTCATAAACTTTACCTTTTCACATTTTCGCTTCCCAGCTCATCTGGAAAAGAAAAAAAGTTGGTCTTCATAGTTCTGCTTTTTTGTACATACAAGGTCCAGACTGCAAGCAAGCCTTGAAAAGGGTCATGTAAAACAGGTTGCACTTTCAAAAGGCGTAATAGTTAACTTGTAGATGAAAGACAAAATATCTCATCCTGTTTGTAATTTCCAGAGGAACCCATTATTTTTAATCTTGAACACACTAAAAGCGAAGAAAGGGGAGATGGACTTGCATGGCAGATTAAATGTTAGGCAAATGAAGCTGAACTAGCCAGATGTTAAAAGGGATCCAAAGCTAGTTATGACCCCACGACAAAGTAAAGATGGGGAAAAAAAAATAGTGTAACAGCCATTATTCAGATAAATAACTTCCCCTCCAGGAATCAAGTGACTGAAAAGCCTCAGCCCTCAAAATAGAATGAAGAACTACAGATAGGATTCACATTGTATACTGTCTTAAATCAGCTTATTTTTAATTCATTGTTGCCAATGGGTGCTGACACCTCCCACTTGTTCCACCACATTCCCTGACTGCAGAGTCACCCCAGGACCATGGAGCCATCTGCCCTCACCTTGAGGATGCCCAAAATCCCAACTCCAAGCAATAGGCACAGGGCAAGAGATCCCAGGACTGTGCTTCTGCAAGGCACCACTTTTCCCATCCCTCTGAAGAGTGTATCTGCATTCCAGGTCATCCAGAAACAGGCGGGCAACTATGTGCCTGGTTGTGAATTCAAAGTTTGCTACGATGGTGACCCAGTGATAAGGCAGATGCAGCCCAAAAATGCCCTGAAAAATGGACTTGAAATCTGTGTTGAATGTATGTCACTGTCTGCAAGCTGAGGAGCTTACAGCTGCACTCTTGTTCTGTACAGACACTGATACAACCATTTCAGGACTTCAGTTACCAACTGTGTGGTTTTAACATGACACCTCAGTTTGTTTTCTCTAGCTTGACACTCCAAGTTACCGATTTCTTTGCTAACAGATGAAGGTACCTTCCTGAAGCGCTGCTCTCCCTATCGCAGCACCCGGGCAGTCTGACCACGGGATTCCTAGCTCATTTACTGTGATATCTTCATAGCTGCCATCACCCTACAGGATCCCTTAAAAGTGTTCCTTAAAACGGTTTTGCTTGTTCTTATTTTATTGAAGCTCTGAACAGCTTTACTTTGTGAGCAGTATAGGCAACAGAAGCATTACATTCACCTTGCATCAAATTATTAAGCATGAAGACAGAACAAATGTTTGCAGCCACACGGTTACATCTGTACACCATTCCCAGCATTGCCAGGAGCTGGAGCTCAGTGCCACGGCTCCCGCGGGTGTGCAGCGTAAGCAGGAGGTGCCAAGAAATAGAACTAGCTCCCGCCCAAGGCGAGGTGCGTGCCCAGATACTGCTGGCCAGGGGTGGATCCCTTTCCTATCTGTCAAATGTGCAACTACAACTAGAGAAGTACATCCTAAATGTGGCATCCAAATAACATTTTGTTAATGTTGAGTGCATCCTAAAAATATCCTTCTGATGTGCAAGAAGACAAATTTACCTTGCTTAGACTTTTTCTTTTTATGATGTATTACAAAAAATGTGATCAGCAAAATCAGCAGGGCCAGCAGCACGGCGGGGACAACGTATATCAAGATAGACTGTTCTGCTGCTTCTAGGCTGTCCTGATTGTTCACGGCATTCAGTTCAGTACTTGGAGTACTTGTTGTTTCAAAGATGCTTTCAGTAGCGCTTGCAGTGACAAGTACTGGCTCGCCGTCATCCGTGGTCAAAGAACGCGTAGCAGGAGGAGGTGGTACTGTAACGGTGGATAATATCAGCGATCCATCTCCTGAACCATCAGAGCCTGCCAAATATATGAGGACAACTTAACATTTTATGGGGTTTATTGGTATTATCAGTGAGTCAAAGCGTACAGCTTTAATATTTACTTTTTGTTTGATGTCTTAAAAAAAATCAGCAGATGCCCCATACACACAGATTTGAAGTCTTGGGCATCAGGTGTAAAATTAGATCACAAATTCATCACAAAACCTTACCAGTCCTGACAGCGTTCTTCAGCTGGCTTTTACTGGGAGACGTCAGCATGCGTGGTCTGTCTGCATGCAGCTGTCTTGCACAAACAGACCTTTTTTTCTGCAGGTTGGCATCCGGTCTTGCTCTCACGTAAAAGTCTTCTGCTTCTCAGTAAACCACACCATCCTGCTTTACTCCTCAGCCTCAGAGGCCGCAACCTCTTTCATCCGTCCCCTTACCCAAGGAGTTAGTACTCCCTTCGGGAAGACCATTATCCCTGGTTCACCAATTCCTTCGGCTCACTTGTCTCCCTGCCTCTGTGCCTCTCTCAAATTTGTTAAATTTGTTTCACTGTGAAAAACAGAACTGGTGAAAGGAAGCCTGCAGCCTGCAGAAGCTGCTGACTTTCACTTCTGCATGGACTAGAAGAGGTAGTAGTAAGTAACACAGGGATGTTACTGGATACAGATGCAATTAACTGCTCCTCTGTCTGATCCTACGGGCTGCCTGAAGGAGCGTATGGTAGAGTCAGCGCTGGTTACTCTTCACAAACGCTAAGACTGGCGGTTTTGAACCTTGATTTGGGTTTTGTTTTCATTTATCATGTGTTTTGCAAGAAAAGTGGCTAAAATTGGATATATGGGTAATAGTGAAAGAAGCTTTTTTTTGAGGCTGAGTAAGAGTCTATGTTGATTGTGATAGAGTTTAAAGCTTAACAGAAGTACGACAAATGCTGGGCTGATACTATATTCTATATTGATGCCAAAAATCCTGTTGTAGCCAACGGTGCAGGAATCAGTCCTTAGATAAATTACACCAACACATTTCCAAATGCAAAACCTTCAGTAATTTTCTTAGCATGAAATTAAATGATGATTTTTTTGTGTTATCTGCCCTTTCAGATACAATGCCGACATGGCACAGCTCTCATTTTATGCAGTAAAGCAGGATGGGATTTCATGACTTTTGCAATGACATGTTTCTCCCCGTTCTTGTAAAGTGCTGGGCAGCCATAGTTTCCACTAGAGTTAGCAAGAGCTTAAGGTTTTCAGCACCTCAGTGCTGGCATTTCCAATCTCACAGGACTGGAACCAAAAGTACTTAGCATTTTAAATGCTTTTGTAAACACATTAATCTTCATAATGGCCCTGAGAGATGAGCAGTTATCATCTCCATTTTACAAATGAGAAATCAGAAGGACAGGGATGCTGTCCTTCCCAGGGATGCCAAGTGAGAGAGTAAAACTGGGATTAGAGCGCTACCTCTTGCTTAATCCACTCTGCAGCATCTCCTCTCCTGACAGATTTGTCTCAAAGAGGAGATGAGTATCTCATGAGACTGTATTCCAGGAAACCCAATTTCAAACGAATAAAATGATTTGAGTGTGACAGCAGTGATTTATCTAGATTTTTATGCCATGCTTATCACTCAGGCACCTGATTGTTTCATCCTTTCCTAAAAACTAGGACAGAATTTTAATACTTAATAAATAATACCTAATACTTGAATATAGTATTTAATACTGCAAAGGCCACCAGACTCTTTCACCACAATACGACAATGAAAATGTTAGCTTTTGAGTAGCAAAGCACTTTGTATCAATAGTCTCTCTGTCGCTTTCTCCTGTATTTAGTATTTCAGTCAAGACCAAAACACAATCTCTGCCTCCCTTGCAGGTAATGACCCCTTACATGTGTGCTCCTCCACCCCTTCCCGTGACCTGCTGGCTGTCCTTAATCCTATTGCAGAGGACAGGAGGGAGAGCTCCTCTCCCTTGTTCATTTGGCCACTTGACTTTTCTTTCCCAAGGTAGTTTATAGTCCCCGGTGCCAGCAGCCACTCCATTTTGATTGCTGTTGCACAGAGTGGCGAGGTATCGCTAGAGATGTCCACACCGCAGACCGCGGTGTGGTGGACTGCGCTGCTGGCGGAGCCGATGGACATCCGCAGCCTCACCGAACCGCTTCGATGATCTTGCTTCATTTTCCTCCTCTAGCCATCGACCTTGAAACCTGTCATCTGCTGATTTGATATATTGACAAGGACAAGTCCGTTGCTTAAAATAATACAAATGGGAAAGGGTGTAGGTAAAATGGATTTTTCAAATGTCTGAAGCATGGTGTGACTTTAAGGCAAAAGCAAGCAGTCACACCTCATTAACTGCAGTGCTAAACTTTCAGCTGCAGCGTATGCTGCCCTTGATTTCCAAGAGAGACTTTTCCAGTGTCTCTGGTACTTTTTATTTGCCTGTTTTTGAGCTATGAAGCAGATTTCAAACCATTTGTCTTTGTGTGAAATAGAATTACCTTTTCTAGTCTCTAGGCAAAGAAAATGGCAAAGCATAGGGAGTGACCTTGCTGCCACGTATTTTTGTTCACTTTGCATAATTCCAGGGACAAAACAGCATCTCTTCTGTGAATACCATTTCCTCTTACAGAGACCTTTTCTCTGAGTGAATTAAATACATCTTTCAGCAGATGGGCAGCCAATTGCACAATGTTCTTGCAAGGATATTGCTCTTATTTCCTGTGTTTCACCTGCTGCCTCGACACATCTCCCTCCAGCTCTTCTGCCCGTCACCTCCGAGGACCAGAGCTCGGGCCCAAGGGATGCCCTACCTGTCAGACAGGGGCTGCTCTCGCTCTCGGGCCACCCACATATCGCATTTTTTACGCGGCAGGAAAATCACAACCTGCACCTGGGTAGGCCTAGCGGCTTGCACCAAGGAAGGATTTGTACCTCCAGCCTGGTGGGGAGGGACGGACTCAGGCATCCTGATTAAGGCGCAGCACTCGCCACAGCCAGCTGCCCAGGCCACATGAGACCCACGTGGTCGGCCCCAAGGTAGTTGTTGTTTTTCATAGCGTTTCAGTTTAAAGTGCTCAAAATAGTGAGCGGGCTATGTTGCAGCTGGCCCCAGTGACTGTTTTGTAGGGTGAATGAAAGCCAGACATTGCAAGGTTTGGAGCAGGGCAGGAGAGCATCTGAAAGTCAGAGATTTTGTGAGATGCTATTCAAACATTTTCTCCATGCCTGGAGGGAGCCAGATTTGTGGTGGTCATTCATACCATGAACTGTCTTGTCAGCTGTGCTTGGGTGTCATGTTGCAGAGATCTACTAGCTCCCTCCTAAAGGCAGTCTGACCACAACACAACACAACACAACACAACATAACATAACATAACATAACATAACATAACATAACATAACATAACATAACATAACATAACATAACATAACATAAAATAAGGAAGGAAAACCAAGGCCAGTGGAGTGGAACAAGCAGCAAGGCACATCTGACCATGTAGATAGCTCCCTGGCTTTGCAAAGCCCGCGCCCTTCCTCATGCTGAGCTCAGCCTCATGCTGTTGGCTACGGTCTGACATCTGTATTCGACCTTCTGCACGTCTCAGCCAAGGAGCAGGTGCTCGCACAACAACCGCATTGGCTTCAGCTTTGTCTGGACCGCCTGGGGCATGAGTGCTGGCGACTTCTCCCCATGTCAAGGGAAGTGGATGGGAGCATGCCACAGCTTCAGCCCAGCCCATGTTGCCACTTTCCATGCTTTCAAGAGCAGAAGGGACAGGGGCTGGCATGCAGCTGTGTCCCACCCTGATGGGGAGCTGGGCACAGCTGGAGCTGGAAGCTAAGAAGTCCTCAGGTTCCCACCACTGAGGTATTAGAGAATCTAGTCCTCAGGGGACCAAAATGCCTGAACAAGCACTAGCAACGGCTCAAAAAAGGTTCCATTACTGTTCTTACGAATTGCAAAAAAGCTATGTCCCTGTATGCAGATACCATGGTATAAGGTATTATTCAATAGTTTCTACTTAAAAAATATGCTTGGATTGCTGATGGACTTTGCATGAGTTTTGGAGGTGCTCCCAAGCCTGCCTCTCAAGGGAGACAGAGGGAGTAGAATATACCAAGCAGCTTTACAGACTGGAGTCCAAACAACTGCATCTCAAACAAACAAACAAACAACATTTCTGTTGTTGCAGCATTTCTTCCTCTGAGGTTTGTACTGTAGCACTCAGAGGTGGCGATATGAGCTTCTTGATGAAGGAAGCAGGCAAACAGGTTTCTGATTTCAGTTGGATGCAAGGCAAAGGAAAATAGCCAGCAGTCAGCACATTTGGTTCTGCTGTAAAATCATTGGTCTCCCTGCTGCCTTCTCATCAGACTCGAGGACCGAGGTCTCTGAAGGGAATTTTTCTCACTGCACTATAGTACCTACTTACAGAAGAAAAAGGGATGGGATAGAGGAAAAGCACGAGCTATGTCAATGGGATAGTCAAGCTTATTAGTTCGAAAGGAAATTTTTTGTTTCTCCAAACTTTCCTATAAGCTATAAAAATGCAGTGAAAGGAAGGCTCACAAGAGGGTGACAAAACAAGAAAAGGCTATAAAGCTGTGTAGGCTGGAGCAAAGTTACCACATCCTATATTGCTCTGTTCCATACATGCATTCCTTCTGGTGGTAGAGTCATATGACCCCACGTGGTCCCTATGATCCTCTCTCCTGTTGCTTGACTCATCCCTGTTCTGTTCCTCTCCCTGCATTTCACGTTGCTGTAAGAAGGGCCATTCCTTGCTATGGCCGCGGCTTGCCCAGCTGCCTGTTGTGGCAGGTCCCGCCTGTCAGTCTGGCTGGAAGAGGAATCCTTAAAAGCCTGCAGGCTAGCTGTCGGGTGCATACGCTGTTCGGATGAGGGAGCACAAACATTTCAGGATGGCTAATCTGTAGACAAGATCCTATTAAAACGAGGTGCTTAGAAAGTGTTATCTAGGTATAACCTGAAAGAGGAAACAATTGTTTAAGTTCATTTCTAGATGATGGAAACTGCTTTCTCCTCACTGTACTTCCATCCAGCTGAAGTGCTGCGTTAACTGCCGGTGTTGCAAATTCAGTCACGCAGCTTAGAGTCAAACTGTGAACCTGTAGTCTCATTTCTCACCCCCAGTACTAAGGGTTTTCCAAACAAATTTATGCATTTAGTTGCATCTACTTAATCTCACGGCCTTCCAGCTCTGCATCAGCGATACCCGTACGACCTCACTGTGATGTGAATCTCTTGGTGCTCCTTGCTCTCAGGAGGCCCCTGAAATTAAAGATTCAAAAGCTTTGGAGGCTCTCCGGCTGTCATAAAATCTCTTGAGGGAAAATAGACTGGGGTCACTGACTGAAATTTAGTATACAATCTTGCTGTTGTAAAGGAGAGATTTTCTGAAATGCCCCTGAAGCACTTGAATAAAACACAGTGGAAGTTTGTATGTGTGGATAAAAGGGATGAATAGGAGTAAATATGTACGAGGAATTGATGTGTTCAGTAGAAAGGGGTTTTCATCTGCTTTTTAGGGAGCTGCACTTTGGAAAGAGAGGATGTAGCAAATCCTCATTTCTTATATTGTTGCTTTGCTAGAAAATTGTAACAGGCGACTCTGATGGGTTCAAACACATTCCCGAGTTCATTACTCTAGGGGGGAACAGATCAAAAATATCACTCCCTTAGAGACCTTGGCTTTGTGGGGGACTTTACCTACAAGGCACTTCTCTGCCAAAGAGAGAGCTGCTGCTTGTGCTCACGGCACAAGCTGCTGAATATCTGGATCTTTGACAGCAATGTTTCTTTGAATGACAACTCAAAACAACAGCACAGAGACACAGCCAAAATAAAGCACTACCTGCAACCATCCCAGCTCTTCAATTTAAAGACCTTACACACTTTACTGCTCCTCTCCCCCACGCATTTTCTTGCTCCCCGCGTCAGACCACTTATGCTGCAATTCCCCAGAAGTTTCACCGAGCACGGAGGGAGATGGCGTACCCTGGGAAATGCCCGTACGCTCAGAGCCTTTTCCTATAAGCTATAGTAAGGGCCTTAATATTCGTCCCTAGGGACAGCACACACTTTACGTCTTCAGGGCTGCTGCGAGGCTGAGGACCATCACCAGAGCAGGGAGGGCCACTGCTGGCCCTCAGCAGGTCACCAGCAGAGCTTTCTGCCTGCATAAAGCAAGGGGAAGGCCAAGGGGAAGGGAACTGATGCAAACCCTGATGTCCCCTCAGTGTGGAGCCGGGAGAGGGCCAGCACCCAAAGCTGAGACCTCAGGCATGCTCTTAGAGCTACCGGCTTCGAGTAATTGTAGCGTAGCTGGGAGAAAACCACCTGTTAATCATAATCGAAATGGCAAGGCTAGGGTTGTACAAGGCTCCAGCAAGGTATGGGAACAGGACTTTCAAAGGCTTCAATCTGTCTATGCTGCAAGATTTAATCATTCTTTTATCATCTATTTTGTAAATGGTTTCTAGACAGTAGAGGTGGGACCTGGGAGATCCCCAAAAGCTTCTGCCCCTCTTCTCCAGCAGACCACTTTAAAGGTGAAGACTGTGTCTGGGACTGGAGGAAAAAGGAAAAGAGCTCCTTTAAAGGTCCTGCCCTGTTGATCTGTGAGCAAGCAGGGGTGAGAGCAAAGGAACCCCCCGGCAGGCTGCCCTCAGCAGAGGGGCTGCCGACCCACCAGTGCCTGGGGGGTATATAAACCTCTACATAAACTCTTCTCCCTCCAGTTCAATTTCAATCCCAAGGCCCAAGTTCACAACTTCTCCCCTCCCACCCTTGCAGTCAGAGTAAGCCCCGGGTACGTTTTGGGGCTGGTTGCACAAACAAAAGCTGCGTTTGTGTGGGGAGCAAGGGTCCCTGTCTTCTCTGGCAGGTGCTCTCCTCCCCTTCCCCAGCAGTGGGGGCCTGGCTCAGGAGAGCCAGGGCTGACAGCGGTCAGGGGGAGCTCTGGCAGGACTGACTCACTCCCATAGAGGAACCATTCCAAAATCAAACAAAATTTAAAAGTGGGCCTACTGGTAGGAAGCCTCTAAAGGCAGTGGGGAGTGGGTTGAGGCACCTGTATGTGACACCTGGTGCTCTGTGCAGCCTTTAATGCCCATGGCAAAGAAGGGCAGGGGGGGCCCAGCTGTGGGCTAAGGGCGTTGGGGACTGAGGTGTCTCTCCACCCTGTGGAGATGGTGATGAAATATTAGTGATCAGTAAACTGCAAATGAGCTAAGGAAGCTGGAGCCTGATCACTCTGCGTTGCTTGCGTCCTGCCCCTCCATTTCCCTGGGACCTCCGTTTTGCTCTGTCCATGGCAGGATTTTTTCCTCTGACCGCTTTGATTCTGAGCTACATTCAACACTTGCAACATATTTTCCTAATGTGTCTGTAACAGCAGGGCTATAGCAACACAGACAAGACCAAACCATTTTATACCTCACTTAGCTCACTCTTACAGCTAAGCAAGACGCCTAACTGCGAGCAGCTCGGCAACACGCCAGGAGCCAGCAGCTCAGTTTTACACCCTGCTTATAGTATTGGTTTTCAGGGAAAAAATACCCATACCAAACCACCTATTTCACCAATGCATTTTAAAACCTTAATAGAAGAAGTCCAGTGATAGCTGAGAGTGACCATCCCTCTCCCTGCTTTCCGGAGAGCTCCTGCTCGCTGTAGCAGCACAGAGGCAGCAAGCACTTCTAGTCCATACTGAGGCACTAGGGCAGTGATTTGTTTGACACTGAAAGGCATATAAGCACTGCCTGGCCAGGTTTTACTAAAAGAGCTGCCTATCTTGCCCAGTCACTGGCTGCCAAAATGCCAGTGGAACAAACTACCCCCTGCAAACGGGTGGGAGCCTCTGCAACAACACCCCAATGCTTCAGCATGTTGTCACAAGCAGTTCTTCCCTTCAAAAGGTCAGGACCTAAATCCACAGTGCCAATCACTTTGTTCTGTAGCCGAGAATTCAAAATATTTGTCTCCGGAACTGACTGTTCTTTTGTTAAACCTGTTTCAGTGCACTGGGACTACGGAAATCGGCAGTCAGCTTTTGAATGGAAGCGGTGCTCCATCTTTAACTTTACTATTAAATGCTGATAGTATGGGTGTTGGGTTAAAAAAGAACAACAAATAATTAAAATTAGAACGAAAATGCCTGGCAGGCCAGCATGGAAACTGGTTCCCTACAAAAAAAAACCTACACACCCCCAATTTAGGAAATGTAGGAATTGTAGGATTTGGTTGCTGCCGTTTGGGGTTAGGTCTAAGGAAAAAATGTCAAAGCTTTGAAAAAGTCAGGCAGCTGAAAACAGAGAAGGTAAACACAGCTAAAAAAAAGCAGAGAGCAAGTCCCCACAGATCTTCTCCTAGCGCTCAGCTTGGAGGGTGTTGCCCTCCGACTCGGTCCCATCGCTGCAGGCACGAAACGCAGGTCCCACCTCGGAAGGCGAAAGGCGCTTTCTTACTCACCATTCCTGGCACATCCTTCGGCCAGCAACAGGGCAGAAAGCAGGACGATGAGGTTTTGCTTTCGCATGTTACCTCGGCGGTGCTCCCACCCGAGGGGCGCTTCGGCTGGCTCCCTGCTTCACCCGAACATTTACATTTCCTGTTTCCTGCCGGGGTGCATCTGAGCCGCATTTCTTCAGGAGATGGACTCTCTTTGATGGGTTTTAGGAAGTGATGTAATTCCGTCTGGGCCTGTCAAGTGAGCAATGATTGCAAAAGAAAGAAGAAAAAAAAAAAAGAAGTTGCTTTTCAAGCACTAACTTGGCTGAAGCACCTTTATGCCGTAGGTGAACGCACTCCTACTCTCCTCTGCTTTTTTGCCGCCTGACTTTACTACCATCTGTCTTCAACTACATGCAGTGTCATGGGATGAGCATCACACAAATATAAATCCGACACAAAAGATCATTTCTGTGTGTTAGCGGGAAGGTTTTAGGTTGCTTTTCAGGGTGGTTGAGCAAGCAGATTTCAATAGTGTCTCCCCCCTGCCTTGGTTTTCAAGCTGTAATTCTCGCTCCAGCACAGGGCGACACCGTGTGCATTTATGATCCCAAAAGGCAAGCCCCAAGCGGGACTGTCTCCAGCAAATGGGAAAAGTGGCTGGTTTGCTTGGCAGCCTGTAACTGAGTATTTTGGGCTGGTTTGAGCTGGGGAAGAAGACAAAGCACAAAACCACATCATTTTTTGTCAGGAGCAGGTGGTTTAGCTGGAAAGCAGTCAGACACCAGTGTGACGATGTCTGTAGATAATGGGGGATGGAAGATCTCGAGCCCCACCTGGATGCAGTGCCTGGTGTGGGGGTCCACGGTGCCACAGTTGACGGAAGCGGCGAGTGCGCAGGTAACTCCTGCCTCCCTTCCTCCCTCCTCCTGATTTTTGCTCCCCCCCGGCGGTCTCTGGCCGGGTGTGCAGACCGCGGCGTACGGCTGTGCCCCTCCACGCTGCCCCATCCTCTGCGCCCACCGCCCTGCCACCGCCCGCTCACTCAGAAACACGCGAGAGTTGACCAGGGGCTTCCACGTTATCGCCTGTCGCTGGACAAGAGCAACGGAGGAGCTCAACATTAAAACCAGTATTTTCAATCTTCTTGCTATATGGGGTGGGCCTAGCCAGGGCTCAGAATTTGGACCTGGAAATAAACCATACCTGTCCCCAAGGTGGGGTGGGGTGGGGGGGTGGGGTGGTTGGACCGTAGGTTTGGTTTGTTCCACTGTACAAATAAGTGCTTGGTCTAAAATTCATCCCTCTGAGCCCGGGAGAGTGTGCACCCCAGATTTTACTCTGGAGCATCCCAGGTTTCAGCCATTTAAAATACTTGCATAAAATTTTCCAGTAATGAGCTAAGGAAGAAGAGACGTATGCTGCCAGTGTAGCAGCTTCATGGTACTCCCCCAAGACATTAGTCTGTGTCAAAACGTGATTTCTGGTGAATTAGTTGAAGCTGGCAATGGTGAATATTTGTGTTTAGATGGGTGGGAGCTGCTGAAGTGACCAATTGTTGCTCTCCTTCTGCAGCTAGTAATTTCTCTTAACACCCTGATGCTTTTATAGGTCATCAGTTATAGTTTCTTAGCTTGAGTAGCTGAGAAATAGGTCAGTGATTCATTTAATGACCAGCTTGTTAATAGATTTAAAACACTTGAATGATTTAGTTCACTAAAAATCTGAACTGGTTGCTTAGTATTGGCAATGTACGTTTATGCACTTCATAAAACAGTGCGGGGGGGAAAGCAAAGCAAAGTTACAACATTGCAGCTACAAGAAGATAAAGAGGAGCTCTGAGTTATGAAACTGCTGACTGACTAATTAAATATTTCTAGGAGATATTCTTTAATGTGATGTCATAGCCATACATGATAATACTTACCAGATAGAAGTGTTAGAGGTGAGACTTGCAAATGCTTTAAGATTTTCCTGTTAAGAAATGTCAGAAGTTCCAAGTATTAGTAATAATGTCTAATTGATATAGATCCTTTCAATTATGAAAGTCCAGTAATTGAGGGTACCCAGGCATCTCCTGTGTGCTAAGAGGTGCCATGGCTTTGTCTAGCCCGGCGATAGGAAAACCGATAATCAGCCATTGGGGCAGCACGGGCAAGGACTGTCTGTGTTTTGATGAGCACAGACTCAGGTCTTAAGGCTATTACTACTGTCCAGCCGCCGTTTTTCTTTAGCTTTAGTCAATAGTAGGCAAAGCCATGCTTTTTAACAGTATTTTTATCTGTCATTGATTTCTCCATAAAGAATGTGTTATCCTCCTTGCTATTTCTTCGCCATCTCCTTCCCAAGTTTGCCACTCTCACTCTTTTTAATACCACATGGGCTGCAAACATGTTCTCTCAGTTTATCCTGCCCTGAGTTTTTGGCTATTTTGCCCCATGCTGTAGACTTAGCCCAACTCATTCACCCTTACTAAAACGTGAGCCTAGATAGAAAGATGGGAAGGTAAAAGAGGAAAGGACTTGTTGGTTTTGTTTTGTATTTCTTTGCTGCATTTTTATCTCCTATCTCTAATGTGCAAGACTATACCCTTGCCTCTTCTCCCTTCCAGTCTTTCTGTATAGGCTGTAGCATTTCCCATTCATATTCCCATCAACTGTTTTTGACACACCTTTGGCTAACAACCCATCACTGCCCTTTGAGGGCAAGATAGCCACCCGCTGGTGTGTACCCAATTAATGATTTCTAAGGCAAATTAAAGTTCAGGAAAGGTGACTTGGTGCTACATTACATTTTAATTAAGACTTCAGAGTGATATAAAGGCAGCTTGGCACAAATTTGACTATTTTAATTAAAAAAAAAAATTGTAGAGAAAGAGGAACGAGATATTTTGGACGCTGAAGAATCGGACTGTCAAAGAAGTGCAGTTACCTCAGTCCATCCCCACCAGTGCTGCGATCGTGCTCCCCCTGAAGCACTCCCAGCGGGCTCCCTCCCTCCCAAAGTATCTTTGCCTCGGTCATCTTCTTCAGCCACATGCTTCTCTCTTCACAGTAGAAATACGGAAAACAAGAGCTATAGTGACAACCTCGCTGCAAACAAACTTGTGCATTTGGAAATTCAGGAGGCTTCAGTCACAGATGATTTTTGTAAGAGGGGTAGATTGTATCTGATAATTTCATAGGCCTTAGCGTATTTACTAGGATCCACAACGCACCTTAGCAAAAAGAAATGTCTTTTCACAGGTGAGACAACTAACTTTCCTGGGTGTTTTCAGCATATGTTACCCCACTGGAAACATCTGCGCGTGCTTTCGATACTGTTTCATTGATTTTTATGTTATAAAGGGCATTTCTGCCTGCCTAGCTAGGCTGTTTACTAATGTTCTTCCCTAATCAGAGGAAGGTTTGCATCAATGAGATTGCAGAATGTCATCAGTGTGACATTTTCAGAAAAACAGAAATGTTTTGTAATGCTGCAGCCACTTGACTCACACTCTTCTTGTTCCTTTTTCCTATGAAAGCTCCAACAACAACAACAACAGCAGCTAAACTTTTGAGAGTGACGGAGCAAGTTGCTGGTTAGTTATAGGGTTTACATTATAAACTCCTGCTAGCGCAGCTTCTCTGCCGCAGGTGTCAGCAGCTAATCTGCTTGCTCTGAAGTGCAGGCAGGGGCTAGCGCCAGTCGAGTTCTGCTAGTCCCTTAATGACTTATTTCTGCCTCTGACATATGTTGGGAAAGGACAGATAAAATTTTCCCACAGGTCACTGTGAAAGAACGGGAAATTGCACTGTATTGCAGCATAAAAAAAAATACAAAGCCCCAAAGCAAAGGAGGGTGTGGAAAGCCCACAGGGATCTTCCGAAGCCCGCCCAAGCGCTGGCTGCAGTGGTGCTTCTGTGGGCTGCAGAGATAAGTAAGAGCTGCAGAATCAAGACCAAAATCCACAGCATCCTTGTGTGGAAACCTCGTGTGGATCTGGAACCACATCCACGGTTGCACTGGTTTCAGAGCAAGCTTTGCCTGGGTGAGTTGCAGAAGATAAAGCTCTCTCTCCAGTAAACTCTCTCAACTCTGGATTGTATAAAAGACATTTTATTTCAGCTGCAGAGGTGCTCAAGAAAAAGATTTATACCTTTCTGAAACCAATGCTACCAGTATAAATTAGAACAGTGCTTAGAACAATGAGATATTGGCCCTAACTGGGTATCATAAAATAACATAACTAAAATGAGAGTGATAATAAAAGCATAAAAACAAGTACCTGCCAGTTTTACGTCCCTCTCTGCTTAAGTGGGCTTGTAAATTTCTGCTTTCTTTTACTGTCTTTTTCTTTATTTTCTTCCTTGCACACAACACAGGCCATTAAATCATGGCTATAAGGTTTTGGAGACTTCAATAGGAACAGAAAGAAAATACAAAATTACATTTGAAAATATCCAGATGTTTGTATCTAAGTTTCCTTTAAAAAAATGAAAAATGGATTCAAAGAGAGACTTTTAACATTGAAAAACTCCTCTGAAATGAAAGAGGCTGCAGGGCACAGCTAGGGCACTGGCAGACTGATGTTGAAGTGTAGCTGGACACTTCATTTCTACTCTTTTTTTGGAAAGCAGTACATGGATTTTAAATTTTGCACATGCCAAAAACTTCTGAAGTTGTTCGTAACTTGTGTAAAATCCTAAAATAGATGATGCCTGTGTTACGTTGTAGTACTGACTGTGTTTTGAAATACGCTTCCTCCTGGGGGCTCAGCTTTACTTTGGGCAAAATCCACAGCTGAAGACTGCACTTCTGAAAGGACGACGTCTGGTCAGCAAAGTCATCTTGTTATTTGACCACTAGCAAAACGCAGCCTTATTATGTGACATAGGTAGTCCCAAGCAAGTGCCTCCATCTAGCCTAGTGCAGGGTTTGCCCATGAAATCCTTCACCCGTGATTTTCCAAGACTCCCACCACTGAAATCTAGGTCTATCTTTGTCTCAGTGTGGGCTGGATAAAGGTGGGATGAACCCCATGAAGTACAGCTTCAGAGTTTGTTTTTGGGGAACGCCTGTGCTTATCTCAGTGCTACCAGCTTCACGTTCCCTTCAGCAGCTAAATAGTAAGGGCTCTGTCCCAACTTCGCAACGTCTGAGCGCTCCCGA